GAGAGAGAGAGAGAGAGAGAGAGAGAGAGAGAGAGATTCTTCACCTAAGTTTCTGATCCTTGCCAGAGACAAGAAGGAGAGGGAGGAGGGAAGGGAAGAAGAGAAGGAAAGAGGAAGAGAGGGAGAGAGGAAGAGAAAGAGAGAGAGAAAGAGGACGAGAGAGAGAGAGAGGGGAAGAGAGAGAGTGGGAGAGGGAAAGGGAGAGAGAGAGAAGCTAGAGAGAAATAGTGAGGAATAAGTTCTTTTACGACACTCCCAACTGTACTAGATCATATGACAACACATTTCTCCTCTTCAAAGTTCTGAATATTGTAAAGGTTATTATAGTGCAGAGTTGACTTGATACTTACTGGGGAGTGATTTCTGAGAATTTTGCTCTGTACACCTTGATGTTTGGCTTCACTGAGGAATACAAGAGATCATGACAAATTTTAAAGGCTGAAGTTTATAATTCTTTGCCAACTGTTTGCCAATACGTCATCTTCCATTTTTGCCTAAATCAACAGTCCATGGAACTTCACAGTAACTGCAGAAATTGTGCATGGTAATAAACAAAAAGGGTTTGTTTTGTTGTAGTAAGGTTTTATAACTAAAACACACACAAGCAGTTACCCTTCTGACCTACCTGCCTGGCAAACTTCAATGACTTCGTATCCGATGTTCTCCCCCTCTCGATCACAATCAGTCCATATAATCAAAGTCTGGCAAGTTTTTATTTCTCTCTCCAACGTTCTCTGGAAAAAGTCGAGTACAAAAGTTTACAAATTGACACACAAAAAAAATCATTGTTAAAAAATTCAACAGATTAAAAGAAAAAACACTTCATGAAACAGGATGATTTAGAATAAGCCTCCATTTCCATAGAGAACGCTTTCACAAACTGAAAAAACCATAAACAAAAGAAAAAGAAGGACTTGAACTTTTGACCTCCAAGCTTCAAAGACAACTAATCTATGCAAAGAAAAGGCAAAAATAAAAAGAGGAGAAAATCCTCTACACAAGAGAACCATACATGAACAAAGAGGAGAAAATCCTCTACACAAGAGAACCATACATAGGAACAAAGAGGCATAACACACTGACTGCGATACAATAAATAATAAAATAATAATAATTGCATTTATATAGCGCTTATCCATGCTCAAGAGCATGCTCTATGCACTTTACAACTATTATTACCCAAACAGACCCTCTGAGAACACTCAGAAACATTTTCGGCTTTCGCGGAAGCATACAGTGCAAGCTGCGGATTTCACGCGCTCAAACACTATCAAACTGACAGGATCGTTCACTGTCTATAGCCGGGTACCCATTTCCACCTGGGTGAGGTGAGGAAAATTTGTGCAAAGTGCCTTTCCCAAGGACACAACGTCGGGTCCTTGACAGGATTCGAACCCACGACCTTACGGTTGCGAGCCCGAGAGCCTAACAGCAGATTAATTAGACAAGAAAGTAAAACAAAGGTACTCCAATAACACTGTGAAAACATGTATCTCTTCTCTAACTTTAAAAAAACGTACACTACTCATATTTTTACAACAACTGCAACCCGCATCTTAGTGAAATGACAAGGCCCTTTACCCCACTGTACACTAAAGACATGAGTTCCATTCTGGAGTAGTGAAATCAGTTTCAGTGAGAAATCCCATCACTCTGTCGGGACACTGTATCCCTCTCTACCCAGGTTTTTAGTTTTAGTTTTAGTCAGAGTTTTAGGGCACTTGCAACATAATAATGTCATATCAGTGTCAAAATAAGAGGCGTTACAAGAGAGTATCAAACATAAAAATTCAGGAGGAGAGATCAGGACGATAGATGTCCAATAGGAAAGAAGGAGCAAACCACACCAGAGCACCCGCCAACCACCCACTACCCAAGTTTGTCCTGACAGGCAAGGATGAAGCAGCCTGACTATACTATAGAATGACCTTTAATGTGTCCATGGCGGTGTGAAACATTTTAGATTCTTTGGCAACTGCCAGACTATTGAAGCCATATCGCAACACTTCCCCTTTAAATACCTTTATGTCTTTGAACTGCTCAGGGCAGTATTTTTCCACCGGGACAGAGAACAAGTCCACAGGATTGCAAGTATTCCTGACGACAAAAACACATGAAAAAATGCACGCCTTTTTATACGTCACCAATAGAAAAAAATTACACCTATTTAGCAGGAATCAAACTAATTATTCTCTTAGAACAAGCATTAGTCAAAAAGTTAGGAAGAGAAGAAAAACGCCAAACAAAAAGCACAAAAAAAGAATTCGACAGGAGGAATCAAACAGAGAAGAGAGAAAACGAAAAAAAGAGAAGAGAAGAAGAAGGGAAAAGGGGGGGGGGTATCAGTTGACAAAATACTTTCCAACTTTTAATGTTCAGTGACCACAATTGAATAAAATAAAATTAACATTAGTCAAAACAAAAATTCTTCCTCCGTAAGAGTGTTATGTTGTCCAGAAATATCAATGAGTATGAATTAAACAACATGTAGTTGGTCATTAACATATGTTCACTTTTAAGGACAAGCCGGCTAACCCATATTTTGGGGGTTTCCAGAAATCTTGACCTACACCAAAAGTGGGCATTGCCCTACCGATAGGAGAAGCTTTGTTTCATTGATGTGTATATTTGTCCAATTTGGTTATTGAGAAAACTCTCCTTGTTTTTTAAAGAAACTGAAAAAGGGGCAAAAACTTTACCTTCGATTTTCTCAAAACAACATTCTTCAAGATAGTCCCCTTGTGCTTAAAAGCAACCAAATATCAACCAGTATGAATTAAACAACATGTCATTTACGCAACCCCCCCCCCCCCCCCCCCCCCCCCCAAGCCAAAGCACTAGTCAAATGATCAAAACAAAAAAGTTTTTAAGAGAAATCTCAAACAGTATACACACAACACTAACCATTTCTTAAAAAGCCCAATGAATTCCAGCCCCAACAAATGCCCTGACACGGATGTCATGCTCATCTTCACTTGCTGGTTCATGAGCCTGTAGTCAAACTCGTAGATCTTGTTGAACTTGGAGAAGCCCTCTCTCTGAAGACAACAAACAAAAATCAGTTATGAGCATATTACACACAGGTAATCAGATTCAAAATTTCCTAAGAGCTGAAAATGTTTAACGTGCCCCGCGCATTCATGACGTTATTATGCAGTTGTGAGCGCCACAAAACATTAGCCAAAAAAAAAAAAAGGGTAATTTCAGAAGGAGATTAGTCCCTTACAGAAACAAAGTGGGAAGAAATGCAACTGGCCCTGTTTTTACCGAGCCATTAGTTCTTGTCAGTACTTCATATATACATTTCAAGGGCAGAACAGTTGAACCAGCTCTAATGACCACCTGTCCAAGACAATCACTGGTACAAACAACCACTTCCCATCATGCATTGTTTCAACATTACAATGACACTGTCTACGACACACACATCTGTCTAAGACAACCACAGTCCTTCCCGACAATCACAATGGGAGGCTATCTTCGACAATTTCAACTGTATGGGTTTCACTTGATACAACCCCC